GTAAAACTAATCAGAAGAGATAAGGAGGGTCACTTCATTCTGATCAAAGGAACAGTTAACCAAGAAGACATTACAATCCTTAACATATGCACCCAAATTCATAAAACAACACTACAGGACAATAAGACACAGATGAACCCCAACTCAATAATAGTAGGGGACTTCAATACCACACTGTCTCCATTAGACAGGTCAACTGGACAAAGAATAAACAGAGAGATGGCTGAATTAAATGACACCATACATCAAATGGATATAACAGACATCTTTTGAATATTCCACACAAGAACCAAAGAATACACTTTCTACTCAGCACCCCATGGAGCTTTTTCAAAAACTGACCACATACTGGGCCACAAAACAAACCTCAACAAATAGAAAAATATTGAAATAATTCCATGCATTCTATTGAACCACAAAGCAATAAGGCTCAAAAGCAACACTGGACGAAGCTCTAGTCACTATACAAACTCATGGTGATTGAACAACACACTCCTAAACAATGAGTGGGTCAAAGGAGAAATTAAGAAAGAAATAAAAGAATTCCTGGAATTAAAAGTATTCCTGGAATTAAAACAAAAGGACAATACAACACAACAAAATCTCTGGGACATGCTGAAAGTGGTCCTAAGAAGGACCAGAAGAAATAACAAAACTCAGGGCAGAAATTAATGAAATAGAAACAAAGAAAACAATACAAAGAATCAACGAATCTAAGAGTTGGTTCTTGGAAAAGCTAAATAAGATAAACAGACCCTTAGCCCAGTTAACCAAAAGAAAGAACAAAAAATCAGAGATGAAGCTGGGTGTGGTGGTGCACACCTTTAACCCCAGCACTTGGGAGGCACAGGCAGGAGGGTCTCTGTGAGATTGAGACCAACCTGATCTACACCGAGAGTTCTAGGCCTGCTGGAGCTACAGGGAGACCCTGTCTCAAAATACCATAAAAAAGACAGAGATGTGTATTTGGTTTCTGCCTCTGGCCCTCTGGATCTTTGGAGAGAGAGGACCGACTGTTGTGTACACGGGGAGGAGGGGTCCAGACAGGATAGTGTTTAAGTTCAGAAGAACTTTGGTTGACTGAGCACCAGGAGTTGCCTGGAAAGTAGCCCACTCCGAGTGGGCAAGGAGGTTCTGTCCCTTCCTTATACCTGGCCCTGTACATCTCTTCTGCCTGCCTGTTCACCTGTGTGACATCTTTATAACACATGGCTAAATGTGTT